GTTATGCAAATAATTTACCATAAATTTTCGTAATCCGCTTTTTGTTAAGATGAACATCCCGTGATTCTATGCTTTTATTTCTAATTTATTTTCGTAAAAACGCAATAGAAAAAAAAATATATAAAATTAGATTCAATAAAAAGAAGACAAGACGTCTCTATACACTGGCGTACACATACACAGTGTTTCAAGATGACAAACACAATAACAATCTTCCCTGTCTTACACTGTACAATTGCTACACAGTTAGAGTAAAAATATTGTCCATATAAGAATATAAATGATGTTGAACTACGTCAGGACTAAAGTTTTCTTCTTCTAGTGGCTTAGTGAAGGACCAATCGTCGAAAGAGAAGGCACAGTGAAAATTGTGAAAGCAGAATTTGAGTGCAAGTGTTCTACTCCAATTCTATTCCACCGTATAATCCCAGGCTATATTCAAAAATTCCACTCGATGAATAGAGTAGCATTTAATTGATTCAATCAGAACCAAAAAAATCTTTGTTTCTTTTTTTGTCCTGATTGATCAATTAAATGCTACTCTATTCATTGAGTAACATTTTGGAACATAGACTCGGATCGCGCGATTTTATGCCCGATTCCACCAACGTAAATTAACTTTAATCTCGGTTCAACTTATCCTCCTCATCTTTTTTTTTTAAGAGTTCTAAGAATTAGCAAGTTAAACCGAGATTAAAGTAAATCTATGTTGGAATCGGCCATTAATGTAACACATGCACAAAATGCAGCACAGTAGTGTATGTACAAGTAATTTCAAAAAAACTTTAAGAATTAAAAAAAAGATAAAAAGATAAATTAAAGATAAATTAAATCGAAATTAAAATTAAGATCTGCGCACAATGGAGGAAATATTAAAAACAGAAATAAATATTAAATGTTAAGATCGATGCACAATAGACAACAGAAATAATATTTCGATCCATCGGAAACTATTCAATTAATAAACTAATGTATCAATTGATATATGGTTTTCAATTGATTGAAATTTATTGCTTGCCTTTTTCTCTGTTTCTGTTATCTATTATTAAATCTTAACATTTAATACTATTCTTATGTAATATTTTCTCAATTGTATGCAAGGCTTTAATCTACATTGGTAGAAGTGGATATTAATCGTTAGTTAAATTAATTAGAATTTTCTTATTTTTTCATTCAAATTTGATAAATATAAGACTTTCTTTTTTTCGATTCTTCTTCTCGATTTTTCTATAATTTTACAAATTTATGTATTTTCATACATAGAATATATTTTGAAAGGGAAAATTATTACTCTCGACTTTTTTATTTTCAAATTTTTTTGACATTTATGAATTAGAAAATAATACTTTAATAATAATTTATGGCTGCATATTTATCATATTTTCTGCTTTAATTAATTAAAAACACCATTATATAATTATATTATAAGAGAGAATAGTTTATACAATTCAAAATTTATATCTTTTTCATTCTTTTTATGTGAATTTCATCTTTTTATGCGAAGTTCAAATATCAAAAAAACTTTGAAATTAAAAAAAAAGACTTGAGCGAGTTTCTTTTCAAAATATATTCTATGCATAAAAATACACAAATTACAGGAAACTCGGAGGAGAGAGCGATATACTGTGTATTTACTTCAAATTCGATTTAAGCTGCGTTCCGATATTCACTGTCATACTGAAAATGTATAGTTTATGTCACGTATATTATAGATTTTCAATACTGGCATGATCAGGGAGTCAATCATATAACTTTACGTGAAATTTTTCACTTTTCATTTTTCACTTTTTACTTTTAATTTTTCACACCTTGACATTTCACGTGAAACGTTTCACGTACAGCGATTATGTATGTAGCTTGGATGCGTGGAAAGTGAAATCATGAAACACAGTTTCATAGGTTTTATAGCTAATGAAAATTATTTTATTGGTACAGTATTATATACATCTTTTAATTTTACCAATTGTATATGTATTACGTATACTTAATCCTAACACAGCCCTAATCTTCTCTAATTTCGAAGCATATTTATTAATTCCCTAGATTTCCGCTTTTCCGCCACCAAGGTACATGGCGAAAAAGTTCACGTGAAAAATTTCACATTTTCATGTTTGAGAGAGTTATATGATCCCGCAAAATCGTACATTGATCGTAAGTTCACGTGAAACTTTTCACATTTTCGTCCTAAGGGAAAAGTTACATGATCGACTCCCTGAATATTGAAATGCAGCCGAAATAATCTTTCTGAACTACGCGATCTCGCGTAAAGTCTTGTATCCACGATGATAGAAATCGGTCCGAGATCTCGGCAAGAGAATTGACCAATTGCATTTGAATAATTCGGCCAATTAATCAATACGATTGGTCAATTCTCTTTCCGTCCGAGATATCGCATCGGACCGATGACCGATTTCTAGCATCGTGAACATAGGCCTGTATAGATTTGGCGAGTCTTCGTTGACACATCGTCGATGGCGGTGACGATTGACAGCGCCGACAGCGGTTTTCAGTTTTCGGTCGCCGCCAGTCACGGCGAGAACGTTGTTTCGGTGTCGGGTTGTCGCGACGCGACGTGTGTGACGTACGGAATTGTCGTGGCTCCGTAGAACATCGTCGTCGTTGTCATCATCGTCGTTGCTGTATTCCTGCCGCACGCAACAGAGAAACACGGCCGCGGAACAATGGCGATGGGCAAGAGTTTTCGCGTCTACGAAAAGCTAGACTCGCCTAAGCCGCACTCGGTCATACTCGAGCAGCGAAGTCGCAAGGAGACGCTGCTCTTTGAGTCGCAAGCGGTTGCGATTCTTTGTAAGTAACGGGCTGAACGGGAACCATCCGCGGCGCCGGCGAAACCGCGCATTCTATTCATCTTCACCTTCACCCTGCAGCTTGCGTCCTCTTCCCTGCGTCCTACTACCCACGTACGAAAATCAGACAGGTGCACCTTTCGTGAAAGAATCGCAAGTAAGACGCCGAGAGCGCGATTGAACTAACGTCGTGACAGCCTCACGATTGTTGTGGTCGGAATGCAAATCGGAGCACGGCATTCCATCATTTTACCTTACCGTCTTGAGTCTATCACGATTGTATTCTGAAGTGTAAACCATACGGTAGTGTCATTATATCAATATATTGAAGAGCCTGTTTCGATTTATATTTCCAATTGTCTTTCATAGAGCGCGATAATAGTCGTGTAAAGCAATGATAGCAGAGATAGCTTAGCAGAGATATTTCAAATTTGAAATAATCAACAATTCTCATAGATATATATCATTTGTAGCTGTCGAGGAGCATGAATTCCTGAAGCCGAAATATACCAAATTGCTAGACGCATATGGATGTCTGGGTGTGCTGCAGCTGAATGCAGGAGAAAATACCTTGTTATACCTCGTTCTGATTACCGGATGCTTCTCTATTGGAAAGATCGGCGAATCAGAAATCTTTCGGATAACGCAGTCAAGTTTTGTACCCCTTTTCTACAGTCAGGGGATGGAAGATCGTGTGTCCGAAGTCAGGAAGGTCCTAAACTCTGGAACATTTTACTTCTCCTGGTCTGCTGGACAGGAATCGCTTGATATCACCTTAAGTGCTCAAAGAAGATGCAAATCAACGACTACAGATAACAGATTCTTTTGGTCAGTACAATAGTTTTGTAAGATATCCTCTTTATAATTCAGATTTTTCATAATAAATGGTTGCACCATTTAAATGAATTATGCATCACTACTTATGAAAAAAAAAAAGAAAATTATACATCTTGAATTATTTGTATTAGGAATCGGATGTTGCACATTCATTTATTAAGATATGGTGTTGACACAGCCCAATGGTTATTGAAAGCGATGTGTGGTAGTGTGGAGATTAGAACTGTTTATGTCGGACACAGACAAGCTCGAGCAGTTCTCATGTCCAGATTAAGTTGCGAACGTGCTGGTACTAGGTAAAATTATTTTTTCTATTTCATGAGAAAGTGTACAAAATTCATGCATATAAACATACACATATAAATGCATTTCCTTATTTTTAATAATAAGAATTAACAGCATTAAATGTATTTCCTTATTTTTAATAACAAGAATTATCAGCATAAAAAGTATATCTCGTGTAGTAAACATGATAAACATAATATGCCTAACATTATAAGCATGATAAGCATGAAATGCTTAGCTAATTCGTAATCATGTACATGTTACGTCATGTTATAAAACAAAGTTCGCTGAAACATATGGCCTGATTAAATATCGGTCATTATTAGATATCCATTGAAAACATGCAAAAATGACCTTTTGTCTAGATTCAATGTTAGAGGAACCAACGATGACGGACACGTGGCAAACTTTGTGGAGACAGAACAGGTGATCTATATAGACAATGAAGTGGCATCTTACGTTCAAACGAGAGGCTCGGTACCGTTGTTTTGGGAACAACCCGGTATACAAGTCGGTTCTCACAAGGTGAAGATTTCACGTGGTTTTGAAACCTCCGCACCTGCCTTCGACAGACATTTAGAGATGATCAAAAAGCGGTACGGCCAGCAAGTAATCGTCAACCTCCTTGGCTCCAGTTTAATTGGCAGCAAAGAAGGGGAAGCGATGTTGAGTCAGTTGTTTCAAACCCATCACAATATGTCAAAGCACAAGGACGTACCGCATATTCTATTTGATTATCATCAGGAATGTCGCGGCGGAAACATGAAAAATCTATCAAAGTTAAAGGCAAAGGTCGAAAAATATCTGGAGTCGTTCTCGCTCTTCTATGCGGTCGGCAATACTGTAATCCTCGAGCAGACCGGCACGATCAGGACAAATTGTCTCGATTGTTTGGACAGAACAAACTGCGTACAAACATTCTTTGCACTCGAAATGTTAGCTAAACAGATGGGTCTATTAAAGTTGATGGAAAAGCAACAGATGGTCTCGAGATTCGAGGAGGTATTCCGCCAAATGTGGATCAACAACGGCAATGAGGTCAGCAAGATATATGCGGGCACTGGTGCTATTCAGGGCAGTTCTAAGCTTATGGACGGAGCGAGATCGGCAGCTAGAACGATACAAAATAATTTACTAGATTCCAATAAGCAGGAGGCGATCGATATTTTATTGTTAGGCTCGACGTTAAATACAGAATTGGCTGACAGAGCACGTTTGTTGTTACCATCCAACATGTTACATGCCGCACCAAATCTTTTGCGGGAAATGTGCAAGCGTTACAATGAGTACGTAGATACAATGAACCTCAGGGTGAGCGTTGGTACTTACAATGTTAATGGTGGCAAGCATTTTAGAAGCGTAGTTTATAAGGATGTATCCTTGTCTGATTGGTTATTCGTTGGATCAGGCAAATCTTCATGTAAGTATTTCCTGGGATGTTATACAATGTAAAAGAAGAAAAAGAATATTTCTTTTTCTAATCTAATCCTTGTCATATCTCTTTTCAGCCTTGGTACACTTACAACATGACGATGTTCCTGTAGACATATTCGCGATAGGATTCGAAGAAATTGTCGATCTGAACGCCAGTAATATTATGGCCGCCAGCTCGGATAATGCCAAAGCTTGGGCTGAGGAACTGCAGAAGATATTGTGCAAGGACACGGAATATGTCCTCGTGACGTATCAACAACTGGTCGGTGTCTGTCTGTACCTATTCATACGGCCTGTGCACGCGCCGTATCTACGAGATGTGGCAGTGGACTGTGTGAAGACAGGATTGGGAGGTGCTACCGGGAACAAAGGCGCTGCAGCGATCAGATGCGTGCTATATTCCACATCCTTCTGTTTTGTATGTGCGCATTTCGCCGCTGGCCAATCCCAGGTGAACGAACGTAACGCCGACTACGCCGAGATTACAAGAAAGATAACGTTTCCCATGGGTAGAACTCTGAACACTCACGATTACGTGTTTTGGTGCGGCGACTTCAATTACAGAGTCGACATGGACAAAGACGAGATGAAGGAATTGATCAAGCAAAATGAATTTGATCAGATATTACAATACGATCAATTAAGGGTATGATATTATTGATCAAACTTTATATTTTCTTTCTTTCTTTAAGAAAAAGTAAATATATTTATTGGTTGTAATGTTGAAAAATCAAGTTTTTACTTTATATACTTTATGATATTTTAATTTTAAGGTTCAACAAGAGCAGGGCAATGTCTTCAAAAATTTTTTGGAAGGGCCCATCACTTTCGCTCCTACATACAAATATGATCTGTTTTCGGATGATTACGACACCAGCGAGAAGTGTCGTCAACCCGCGTGGACGGATAGAGTTTTATGGAAGCGCAGGAAGCAAGTACCTGATATCGGTTGGTTCTTTTTATCACATTTACATATACTGTATATATAAATGTAATTTTGTATTTGTGTATATCAATTTAAAATTTCAGATTCACCTACAGATTGGAATCCAGGAAAGCTCGTTTATTATGGCAGAGCCGAGTTGAAACAGAGCGATCATCGACCAGTAATTGCGATGATCGATATAGATGTACACTGTGTCGATTCTGAGAAACGCGAGCGCGTATTTAAGGAAGTGATACAAGATCTGGGTCCACCCGATGGCACAATAATAGTCAAGCCAATGGAGGACGTTGAAGATATGGATAACGTATTCGATAATAATCTCATGTTTGCTCTAATACAGGATTTGTCCCATATCGGTGAAGCAATCCTAGTCCGTTACGTCGGCGAGACTATCTGGGTGACATTCAGAGATGGTCAGTGTGCCCTAGCCGCGGCAAAGAAGGGCATGACACAAGTGTGCGGCCAAACGTTGAAGCTTTCATTAAAATCACCTGACTGGGTGCAGCTGATCGAAAAAGAAATCGAGATTTGCAGTAATACCACGGTCGCACAATTCACGAATTCACCATTGAGAAGTCCCATGCAACGATTGGAACAATTGGAGATCGCCGAGCGACTTTCTCCCAGCAGGGGCAGCCCGAACGGTGTAATTCCACCCCCGAGACCGGCGCCACCGGGTCGACCCTCTCATCCACCGAAGAGTCCCGCTCACGAACGGAAACAGGTACCACGAGCGGGCGTCTTCAGTGTGGTTCCTAATCAATTTTCACGTCCGGTGACGCCTCCAGTCATGAACGAGATAGAGGATGACCGTCAAGACGAGAGATTGTCTCCGGATTCGGCCATCTATGAGGAAATACCTGATGGATCGCCCAGTTATCCCGTACCAAATCGACCGCCGCCACCGTTACCACGTATGGATGGTTCTCAGGAAACATCGAGTAGACCACCGCCTAACTCGATACCTCCTCCGTTGCCGCACAGACAAGCTCCGCCGCCTCCGCAGCATCCACCGCCAAGTCTACCCCCGTCAAATGCACCGCCACCCGTTCCAGCGAGAACCACCGGCGGACCGCCTATTCCAGCCAGAAATCCTCACTAAGAAACATGACACAGATATCTTGTCAGGCCAGACTTCCAATACATTTAGCATTAATCTAGTACGTGTGATTATTTATGAGATTAAACGATGAAACAATTGTCGACGAATCCTCACTTCTAAACTGAGTTCCGAATTCGCGTAGTATAGTTAGGAATCCCAAAATCTGTTCTGTGATTACTCAAAGTAATCGGTTGTCGTCACAATTACAGACAGAGTCAGAATTACAACTTATTTCCAATTTCTAATCGAGCGTAATTAATTATAGATTTGTATTTGTAGGTTGATCTTGAGCTTACCGAGCTTACCACATTTTGCGTTTTCATATTGATGGTAATATAATCTTATTGATCTATCCTCGCGATAATGCGAAGGATCATTGTTTTTCTTCCGAATGTTTAAAATGGCACAAATAGCTACTGTTTCGAAGATTCAATCGATTTATAATTGTTAACGTGACACAGATTTAAAATGTATATTTAAAGTATATTGAAATCGTTGTAAAATTGGATATATCACGAATACGTTAGTATAATCATCAGAGTTTAAATCGTCAGGCGGGATTTGCGGTAATAATATTATAGTTGTCACTTGTATATTAATAATTTAAGATGTAATTCTCAGTGTTAGAATCACTTTTAAGATTTAGGAGTCTTCACAGTAACTTAGTAGCATAAGTCTACCAAAAACTATAATTAGACTCCGATAAGCGAACTTAATTTCAAAATCAATCGTGTGTAGCACGACGTGACTGAGGAAAAAGGATAGATTCAAATAACAGTATTTTCGCGGATGTAAGGTATCTTATAATTCTCCATGAATTTCCTTTTTCACACATGGTGTGAAGGCGGCTAATTTAATTAATTTAATATCATTCTATGTGTAATTATATTTTATTTCTCTTTTTTAAAGTTCCTATATTTTGCATTCCATCAAAATTTCTAGAACGTCCGTCCCAACGGGTCCAACGCCCACCTACATTTGTTTTTAATCTTCTCAATTTTTATTCTCCAGAGAACACAGTGTATCACGTTTGGTTATGATACATTGATGTCCTACGACTTATATGACTGTCACATTATTCATGTATCAACAACGAATGTGTATTAAACGAAGAATAAAATTATTGCTCATACACAGGCGTCATAAGAAGCCTCATAAGAGGATACGTGTGGCGTGGCAATCAAAATGTTAATTATTATTGTACATATTTTGTTTCGCCCTTCATTTTTATCACTTCCAGCTGTTACATAAAGGTGGCTCTAATCGCGGGAAAGTGGACGTACGCATGTAAATTAGTATAACAAAGATGGTATAAGCCAATATAAGAGAAAATTGTTCCGATTCCGATATACACTTGTTATTACAATACATGTACAATGCGGGCTTTGTTCTGCACCTCGACAACACATTTCCTCACGCTTGCGTGCTGAGTAATTGATACGCTTTATCAATTAGATCAATCCACACATGTACAAGATGTAAAACATTGGACGTGTATATATGTATTAAGTGGTCTAATAAAGAAATCAATCGGGAACGGAGAAAGCTCTTAAAAAAAGAGATTTCATTTATTGATCTAAGCTGTATAAAGAATTTGATTTCGATTCGTCTTGCGTACTAACACTAATGTTGTTATTACATCCGTTTGGCAAATAGAGGAATGAGACCCCTCGGTTTTATTACTTATTAATACGTATATATGTATATATATATAAAAAGGAGAAACTTGTACAAAAATTTTCTTTTCAAATTGATAAATATATATACTGTAAAAAAGGGACAGAGAGCTGTGTCCGATGTCCATCAAGATTTTAAATTTCTATTTGTCATTATAACGCAAATAGATATGAGCAGAGACGTATTTTCACTTAGAACGTAATCACTTTTAGCGTAATAAATTATATACAAGGAAATATTACTAAATTAATAGCTATCTAGTTCTTGATTAGTATAGTTAAATACATTTAGGGAAAAAAAAGCAATAGTTTATCTGACCTTAATCGGGAGTAGATAGATGTTTGATATTTAACATTATCACCTCAAATTATTTTTTCTTTTTTTCCGAGCACTATTCAAATATTTTTCCTTAGAAAAAAATATTAAAAAAATAATAAAACTGTATTAACTTAAAAAGATAAACATAAACATAAGGAATTAAAATCTTTTTGAAAAAATGTAATCAGTTCAATATATACATATTGATTTTCCAAAAGTAATTTTTCTACTTATGGATTATAAATAACACATAAAAAAATATTCTTGGCGACAATGCAAAATGTTTCGACCTGATAATTGGCTCCCTTTGAATACTTTGTTCGTAATTTGAAAATATTCATTGAAATTCATTGAACATAAAATCATCGAATAAAATCAATAAGTTAAGAAATAATATATTCATACTAGAAATCTCGATAAATTTACGTAAAAATTTTTTTTTACAAAGGATAATTCATTAGACTACAGGATCGAGTAAAGAGTTACATAATGATACCGCGATAAAATATTTCAAGTGTATGTATATGCATGAATAAAATTCTTGCATAGTTAATATGTATTTGTGTTTACAGATATGCTTTTCTTAGAACTTTCGATCAGTCTCTTTGTCATTCTCCCGTGCATTCACAAAAACTAACGTCAACGCATTAAACGTATAAAATACATTCTTTTTTTCGATAGTTTGCTGATCGAGTATTGGAATGTTTAACTTAGTAAACCGCAATTACTCAAGTTATTCTTGATTATTACGTCGGTTACGGCGTCAAACACAAATTGTATATTGGATGTGTCTGTGGCGCACGTGAAATGTGTATAGATCTGTTTTTGATCCTTCCTCTTGTTCAGATTTTCAAACTTCATTTGAATATAGGAGGCACATTCTTCGTAAGTGTTGGCGCCTTTGTACTCTGGAAAGCAGATGGTGAGCGGGCTCCTAGTGATCTTTTCTTCAAACAGGTCTTTTTTGTTCAGGAACAGTATAATCGACGTTTCAACGAACCACTTGCTATTGCAAATCGAATCGAATAATTTCATCGATTCTATCATTCGATTCATTTCCTCGTCTTCTGCTAACACCAGATCATAGCCGCTCAGAGCGACGCAGAAGATGATTGCAGTAACACCTTCGAAACAATGTATCCATTTTTTTCTTTCAGATCTTTGACCACCAACATCAAACATTCTGCAAAGACAAAATAATACATATATTATTTTGAAGTTTTACAATATATGTAATACAAATTAATTAAATTTGTATATATTTTTATATAAAAATCATTGCATTTGGATCTTATTTATTTACATAAACAAGAAACTTCATATCTACATATGCAAATATTTATAATATTTGTTGTATTATATTTTTTGTAACACATGTTTAGGAATAATTCAATGAGATTACAATTTGATTAAGATTTGGAATTAAATAATTTTAGATAATGATATGTGAGCATACTTGAAATGTAGACCCTTGAAAGAGAAATGCGTCTCCACGATTCCGGTGGTTTTGACACGCGTTCGCAGAACATCCTGCTGCGTTGGGATGTAATTTTGTTGCGTTATGCGGTCAAGTGCGTTAAGGTAGTAGGCTGCCGAGTCGTTGAGCTGGTATTCCCTGCTACGCGCGAAACAGAGTTGCAATCCCGGGTCCTGCCATAATCGCTTCATTAATAGCACTAGGTCCCCGGTCAGCTCGCCCTCCTCCGCTGCCGATGCTAGGGTGAAAAATTGTCGCGCCATATCCTACAACGCAAAACAAGGCCGATTATCTAATGCGCCAGTGGGACACGAGAAAGTTAGAATGCAGTTAATAATGCGTGATGTTACTGACGAGAAAGATTTGCGGTATCCTAACGAGACTAAAACAATTATGACTATTTTGATAAAAAAA